TTTGAGACAGTTTTCCTTTTGTGTGGTGGTGCTCTGGCTTGACCCTTGGCCAAGCAGACACTCCCATGGAGGAATGAGCTCATGTTGAATTTATAGTTTAGGTGTTTTAGTCACCTATATACCTGTTTTCCCCTTTACCAAAGAGCACACCTTTATTACCTGGGAAGGTTCTTATCAGTCATATGTAGCTTTGGGAGTGGCATTTATTGGGCAAGGAGAAAAAGCACTCAGTCTGATCAGCTAGATCAACCCTAGGGGACATATGGAATAACACGCTGAGTCAGAACTCCCGACATCTCCACTTCATACAGGAAAGTTTCCTAGGCCTAAATGCAAGCCCTTTGAGGCAGCACCAAGAGCCACACTGAATATATTGATAGCATGGTATCATCACACTCTACAGTCCTGTATTTCTTTTAGCTTGGGAGGTGACTTTAAGGACTGAACTGCCTTGTTTGAGAGTTTCTGAGCAGCCATATCTCTAATGATACCTAAGAGAGGGTTCTTGATGGTTAAAAGGCTCCCCAAACATTCGAAAGGTTCAGACCAATTGTTCCACAGAGCAGACAGAAAGTGGGGTAAGTGGAAGAGAATGTGGGAAGGTATGGCCATCGCTACTTGGTTCTGGTTTTTGCCAAGGTTCAGCAGGTCAGAGGACGTTCCAGGGATATGAGAAAGAGGGACGTATCCACAAATGTTTGGTGGGGGTTGGGGGAGTAATTGTGGAAAAACACACTAGCTTCTCACAGGTGCTACAGGATATTAAAAGGGATATTAGAGACAATTTTCACCACAAAATACCGCTGTTGTTTTCAGCAGTTAGAGATGCTTGTCAACCTCGTGGGTGTGGTAAGAGAAAGACAAAGTGGTTTCTTGGGGTAATTTTTCCATCAGTTTAGAACTTTCAGCTACTCTGAGATTACTCAAGAAGAGAGTTTCTGGTTTGTGAGATGGGTTTTGTGGTCAGTATGTATGGAAGTGAAGAATTGTGGCCTGATGTCCATTCCCATTCCCGGGATTTCTTTACCTAGAAAAAATGACTTTGGAGAAGGCAAACAAGAGGACCTCCCTAAGAAACTGATAGAAGCATCATAATGAGCCCTTTCCCTCAAACATCAGGAGACCCAAACTTACCTATAGGACATAGTTACATGGGCACAAAAAATGAAGGCTTACTGAAGAGTGGGGCAATTGGATTAGGGGAAGTTGAACTGGAATGCAGTGGGCTTAATTCAGTAATATGGACCAGCTCACTGGGGATGGGATTAGCCTTTCACAGTTGATTATCAGGAGACTGGATTCCCAAGCCTAGTCCTGAAACTTAGAACCTGGTTCTGTAATGAACTCTTAGTATATTGGCCACACCTGTGGTCCCCCTCAGCCAGGACCTTGACCCCTGCCTGAACAACTTCCCCTTTTTCTGAGCCCAGTCAATATTCTAAACAAAATGATTGATTTGATAGTCATATACTATCCTGTCATAAGTCTTTCATTATCTTAAAATCTTATTTAACTTTATGTTGTCATTTATCTTTTTCTTTTGTTAGCTTAACTCCCCACTGGATTCTCTTTCAATTGAGGACAATGTCTTGTTCATCTTGTGTTCCCTACAGGGCCTAGCACTTAAATTTTTATTTTTTTATTGATTTGAGAGCGAGCAAGCACGGGAGAAACAGATTTTTACACCATTTACTCATGCATTCATTGTTTGATTCTTGTATGTGCCCTAACCGGAGATTGAACCCCAAACCTTGGCACATCAGGATGGCTCTCTAACATCTGAGCTTCCTGGCCAGGGCACTTCTTAAGTTTTTAATAAATATTTGATATATAAATTAGTTTGCATGTAGGTTTATATCATTTATATTCATGATTCATTTTATTAGTTTAGAACATAAATGACTCTATTAAACGGTAATGGAACTAATCTGAAAGTGGAACAAAATTTGAGATTGTATTGAAATAAACAGTTTCCAAAGTGTATTTGTTCAGATAGAGCAAGCATCTAATATGAAAGTGTTTCCATCTGTGAAAGTAGATTTAAACATGATTTAAAGATTTAATTAAAGTACTCTTGCAATTAAACAGTGCTAATTTTGGTGATCCTTAAATACTGAACTTTGATAAGAGCTAACAGCTCTGAAGCCTAGCTCCACTCATAGGAGAATACAAGTTCTTGAATCCACTGAACTGAGAACGGTCTAAGAATTTATATATCTACTTACATGTAAATTGATTCTATTTAGCCGTAAGTCTCCCATGTTTCCACTTTTTAAAAATTTCGAAGTCAGTTATTGAATAAGCACAGTTAAAGGCATACATCCTCTCACAACCATCTTTAAAAACGAGACTTAAAAATTCTAAGCCCTAGAATGACAGAATGGGTATGACATAAACATTTGTTTCACAAAAATGACTTTAGAACTGAGGATCCTATTGTGAGGATCCTGTTAGATAATGCACGTGAAATCTCTATATCAATAGTCTTTTTTTAAAAAGAAACTATTATTATGAGTTAGAAAACAAAATAGCTCCCATCATTGACTTATTGATAACTTTTTTGGTCTTGTTAACTTTCAGAAAACTAGTTCTCTTTAAAAAAATAATTTTGCTTCTTTGCCTTTACTTTTTATCTGTCACTTTA